CTCTCGGCAGAGGGATGCAGTCTAGACCCAGCCTGGGAGGCTAGGCCTGAGGCTGCTTGGTGTGCTCTGCGCTGGGTATTCTGGATGTGGGTGCACCTCAGACCAGACCCACTCAGACAAATCACTAGGAACAGGCTTTATTCTGTAAAAAACATAAAACAGGATCACAGTTCAGCAGCCACTCCTCTCAGCATACAGCCTGTGTGCTGTTTCTAGCACAGTCCCTGCTGAGGGCAGAGGGCACATCCTGGAAGGACCAGGAAGTTCTCCCAACATGCTGCAGTTTGTAGTCCACAACTTGTAGTTCCCAGGGCTGCTGCTGAAACACACTGGACCTTGGGCTACACCCGTAAAAAACCTGGGGGGGGGGGGAGGAGGGGACAGCCAAGGGTGGCCGTAGCATGGATATGGTGGTTTCATCTGACTGTCTTTTGGCTTTAGTGAGCTCCCAGTTTCATTCCTGTGAATTATGAGGGAGCGTGTGGGGCAAAAGCTCCTTGTTCCTCATTGTCACTGTTGGTAATTATCAACAATACTGTGGGACAGTGGTCCTCAACCTTTTGGTTCTGCCGGGCGCCCGCGGGCGGGACCGCACACACGCCCGGTGGCGAGGCCATCCATATGCTGTGTTCCCGGAGCTGGCGCCACCCATGCGCTGCACTCCCAGGGCTAGCGCCGCAACTGTGCTGCACGACCAGGGGTGGGGCCGCCCATGCGCCATGTGCCCGGGGCCGGAACAGCCCATGTCCCACGCGCCTGGGGGCGGGGCCACCCCTATGCTGTGCGCCCAGGTCAGCGCCTCCCATACGATACAAGCCCGGGGCCGGCACAGCCATCGCGCTGCTCACCCGGGGGCAGGGCCACCCATGTGCTACACGCCTGGGCCGGCACCACCCATACGCTGCATGCCCGGGGCCAGAGCTGGCACAGACCTCACGCTGCGCACTCGGGGCCGGCACTGACCATGTGCTGCTCGCCTGGGACCAGCACCACCAATGCACCCAGGGGCTGGCTCCACCCATGCGCCACATGCCTGGGGGCGGGACCAGCCCCGATCACTTGGCGGGCGCACAGAAATGGCCCGGCGGGGACCACTGCTATGGGAGATGTAGGCTGAGTAATAAGAGGTGAGCCATTGGTGCTGAGAGCAAATTGTGGAATCAATGGTACGTCTTTCTAGGACAGGAATTGTGATGCCGGCAGCAGTGAAACCAAGGGAGTTGTTATAATCAACAGATGTCAGTTAATTTGTGTGTCGGCTTTGCTGGTGCTGACTGACCCTCTGTAGACTACGTGAGGTAGTCGAATACATTGGTGCTGAATACATTGACGGTGACAAAATCGTGGTCAGCACTGCAGGAATTTGCATGACTGGTGCCATCTCAGTCGCCAGTCCTGTTGTGGTCAGTGCCTTGAAGACGACATCACTGGATCTTGGTCTCTACTCCTTGGCTTTGGGCTCCAAAGCATGGCTGGTGCAGGAGGGACCAGGAGAGTCGTATGTGCTGATGGTTGAGACCTTGCAGGGCACAATTTATGTTGTGCAACTCCCTCTGCAGAGAACTCAAGGGGCTCTTCCACTTCTCAAGAAAAGATGGATTTATGCTCTTTGTTGGTTCAGACTGTGTGGGTGAGCACTTAGCGAAGGACTTTTGTTTGTACTTCTCAGTCTCAGATCTTGTCTGGAGTGACTTCTCCATAAGGATTACCCATATGGGTTCTTGCCTTCAAATTACTGCAGTGGGTTCACTGAGATGGCATGTGTGTTTCAGTGCGTGAGGTGCGGATGTTTCTGTAAGAGTGCTCATCAGACTGACATCAGGAGTAACATCTCTTAAAGATATGTGTTTTCCTCACAAACACAATGAAATAACAAAAAAACTGAAGTATTTTTATTTAACTATAGGGAGAGGCGATGTCACACTGTTCCAAGATCCATCTTCAGCCAAGGACAGTTGGGAAGGAACTGAGAGATTTGGGTCATATGCATGCTGATTGAGACTCCAACAGTTGCGAGACAGCTGCTGTGCACAGATGGCCCATCTAATGTTCCTTCTCATCTTTTTCATCCAGGTGAGGACATTTTCTATCCATGTGCGTAATAATTTTTTTTGCATTCACCAAAACATGTGCAAATGTGCACTACCAGTAGTACAAAAAATCTAGCTTTAAGTGCTCTGCAAATCAGTTGGGTAATAGTTGAATCTCTCCTGAGTGGCCACACAGTGTCCAGCTTATGACAAACTCTGGCCAGCTTATGACAAATTCAACTTATGACTGATCAGGCCCTGCTACTTCATATCTCTGATCAATAACATTGGAAATAGTGTTACCTGAAGTGGAGCACCCATGGGGACAGTACTTGAAGCATAAAACATTACATCTGTCTATTTCAGGGGACAAGTTTATCAATAGGTTCCTCAGTAAATTTATAAATGCCAACTACCTCTGAAATACTTCTAAAGTGATTGTGTTTGTCGAATAAGAAGCAAATATTTAAAAATGAGATTTTGGAAATAAGGCAGCAAGTTCTTCAAACTACGCACTTGATTCACCTTATAAATTGTCTTCACTTTGATTTTAAATCAAAGTGCCAGCATTTTGGCAGATCTCTTTACTCAGATTCACTGCTGGGCATGATTTTAATACCCCCGAGTGCACTGTGAGCATTAGAGCAGCACACAGATAATTTATGCCTAACTAGAATGCTAGCTCAAACTGAAACCATATGAACACAGTTATGAAGCAGTAAAGTGAATATTGGCTAGTTCTGTAGTAAACAAAAATGTGATTGCCTCATTTGTGTAGAATTTTTAATGAAGGTCAAGCTCCCCCTAATGGGGAAGTAAGTATATTGTTTTCTTCACTTAAATATAAGTTTTACAGTACCCCTGGAACAGAAATATGCCTGGCTTAAGAATCTAAAATGGGCTCTTTTAAAAATCCTAATACAGTATATAGCATTCCAAATGTGTGCACTCAATTTCTGCAGAGAGTTGTTTTATTAGTTAATAAAACATTGTTTCAGAACAGCAGATGTTCATCATAGGCCAATTTACTAGGTGAGAAGCACTAATGAAAATATACGCAACTTGCTACTAAAAGTGAGAATTTGTTTTAACTATTCAGAAATATTGAAAATTAGCTGTGTATTTTTAAAATGTGAATCAATAGATGACAGGCATTTGATATGTCAAACTGAAATGGTTTCCATAAAAAGTAACAGCAAATTCCAAATTAATCCCTTTTTATTTACATAATTAATTTTCAGGCATAAAGTAATAGATAAATCTTAGCTAGTTCAGCTTCTGAAGAGGCCTCTCAAATTTGCTTTTAACAATCTGTTAGTGAAATAACTATTTCTCTTCCGCTCAAATAATTATTGTTTGTGAAATGTGCCAAGTTGAAAACTATGGGGACCGAACATGACAAGTACATGTTCTGGAGGGACAATTTCTGGGAGTGAAAAAAATATTAATCCGTCTTTGTGCCTAGTAGCTAAGGTGGCTGTTGAGACTACTTAGAGCAAATTGTGATGGTATTCCCTGTCAAAGAGGCACCTGTGCATTGGAAATTAGACTGCTTCCACAAACTCATTCTATCAAGGCCACTGAACAGCCCTGAAGCACAACCAGAATTTACCTAAGGGGGACCAGATTATTTGCCAAGAAGCAGGGGCATTATATGTGCATTATGGCCCAATTTCTTCCTTAGTGGGATCCTGTTTTTATGCATGCATTGCATTCTGAGAGATGTGTGTAGGGCTGAATTAACCATCTCTGGCCCTAGGCAAACATACACACCTGGGTCCCTACCTTCTAATGTGAACAACTAATCGCTGATAAATGGAGAGAAGGGGGAAATACACGTCAGTACTGCTTGCTCCCATATATTTTACGGCAGTAAATTCCCATTCTAGTCTGTTCATTTACTACTGTTTGAGAAGGAAGTGATTTCTTTACCTTGTGCTCGCCTCTGCCATTCCCAACATAGCCTAAAAGTAAGTCTTAGCTATGTGTGAGGCATGTCTTTACCTACTCATCCACTAGAGCAGATTAGTGTGTGAACAGAGAATTTCACTTGAGTGGTGCAGTGATCTGGCACGTGGGGTCATAATCCCACCTAAGTGTGGCCTGTTGGCCCCTCTTCATGACAGAGGGGTGCTGGAGTCAAATTTGAGTGCCACTGCGAATGCAACTTTGTGTGCCAGAGACATGACCACATACTCAAATGAATAATATTCCTTCAGTTTTTATTAAAATCTGCATGTGTTAAACCAAGCACAAACCAAAACAAGCAGCACATCTGGCCCGTGGACACGTGTCTGGGTTGCTAATGCATTCTTCCAGCCCTGAGTGCATAGGCATGCATGACATTACCTCTTGCACTGTTACACATGTCCTCACTGAGCTGCCATCTCTCCTTCTGGAATGAGCCCAGAAGCAAAAGAGGAAGAGAAAGAAGCAT